CCGCCCGCCTCGGCCTCCCAGAGTGCGAGGATTACAGGTGTGAGCCACCGCGCCCGGCCTACCCCAAGAATTTTTAAAAGAAGAATGTAAATAGAATTAAACAGTTATTACCTATATTAAATATAAAATAACATGTTTCTTGCTGTCCCATGATATCGTGGATATTTTTATTCTTTCTATTTCCCTTTCCATTAATACTTCTCTGAACTGCCAGAACCTTTAGCACATCTTTATTTTCTTTTAGGTAATGGTAAAATAGAATACAGTAAAATGTAAAATTAATTTCGACTTGCAGTTCTGGTCTTCTGTCTGCATTTTACCCATTCCTCGTCGGTAAAAAGTAATGACATAAAGGTAAATATTCTCTCAACAAAAGTTTGAGCATAGCATTCTTAGGATTTTATTTACTAGCACAGCAGGTTTTTAAATTTGTAGGAATTCATTTCGAGCTCTCGAAATGTCTATCCACTTTGTATCTTCACGCTTGCTTTGGTAAACGAGCTGTTTGTCTGTCAATCAGATCCTTCGCGTATATAAATTAACTATGTAGGCTCTCTATATGTGAAATAACCATCTTTTTTTTAGAGACAGGTTCTCGTCTCACTCTGCCACCCAAACTGGGGTGCAGTGGCACCATCACAGCTCACTGAAGCCTTGAACTCCTGGGCTTCAGTGATTCTCCTACCTCAATATCCCAAGTAACTGGGAGTAAAGGTACACACCACTGTGAATGCTAACCTTTCTATAGTTTTTGTTAGGACAAGGTCTTGCCCAGGCTGATCTCCAGCTCCTGGCCTCAAGCGATTCTCCTGCCTTAGCCTCCCCAAAATGCTGGGATTACAGGTGCGAGCCACTGTGCCTGGTCCCCATCATTTTTAAAACACCCTGAAGCACACTGGATGTTATTCTCAGTTAAACCTTTTTTCCCCCAAGAAAAGTGATTTAAAGCACAAATGTAATTTGACCTATAAAATTGAAGTTAGATTTCTAAAGTTCTGAAACAACTTATTTCCAAAAAATTAGTCTTTTTTTTTT